GATAGAAATAAAAAAAGTAGACATTAATCCATTAATCCATTAATCCATTAATCCATTAATTAAAGTATCAATTTTTTGTATGGTTGAGTTCATATGTATTTTTTAGGTGAACCTTCTTCTCGATGAACCTAACAGTGATATCAATAGTTTGTCTTTTTGACCGGCTCTAGAGTACATTATATAAAGATAAAGCCATTGTCTTAAGATTTTGAGTAAAGAATAGTGTCAATAGTTGGTGTTTGTATCTAGAGAGTGCATTTCACCCAACAAAATGCCTTTACTTTACTTCTATCCCTTTTTTTAATATTTAATTGTTGATTCTGCAATGAAAACTTGCTTGGACTTTGATTCATATAGTTCCAATTATTAGATAACACTGTATACTTTGCTGACATCTCAAAATCCATCAACCTCATTTTTCACTAGTTGTACTAATAGTTTCTTTTATGATAATTGCAGATGGCAGAGTTCTTGATCAACAAGACAAAGATGGATATTAATGCTCGGAACTCTGAAGGGGTCACAGCACTTGACATCCTAGTTCAGTCTAAGGACAGTGCAGAAAATAGGCAATTGGAAGCCACTTTTATCAGAGCTGGTGGTAGAAGAAGCATCCAATCCGTGTCTCCAGTAGCATCTAATTCTGTGTCTCCAGTAGCATCTAGTCTTTCTATGTCACGGAGGTTTACACCTAATCCAGTGGAATTGCCGAATCAAAATGAATTGATTGAGACAATTGAGAATGGAAACAATAAACCATATTACTTCTCCCCAACAAATTCAGGGAAACAGAAGAAGTGTCAGACCGAAAGAAAAGTGGAAAATCCAAGTCACTTTTGCTATAGTCAGAGCAACAGGAAGAAGCACTATGAGATGCACAGAGAGGCAGTACTAAATGCGAGGAATACCATTATAATAGTTGCTATTTTGATTGCTACTGTAACTTTTGCTGCTGGTATTAGCCCCCCTGGTGGTGTGCACCAAGAAGGAAAAGTGAAAGGTGAGTCAACGGTGGGAGAAACAACAGCCTTCAAGGTGTTTGTAATAAGCAACAACATAGCTCTATTCACGTCTCTAAGTATAGTAATTGTGCTTGTTAGTATCATTCCATTTAGAAGAAAGGCACACAGAAGACTGTTGACAATCACTCACAAGGTAATGTGGGTGGCTGTGGCATTTATGGCTACTGGCTATGTTGCAGCCATATGGGTGATCTTGCCACACAATCCAGAGATGAAATGGCTATCTGTTGTGCTACTTGCTCTTGGTGGTGGCTCTCTGGGCACAGTCTTCATTGGTCTCAATGTGATGATGGTTGAGCACTGGCTCAGAAAATCAAAGTGGAAAAAGACTAGGAAGGAAGAAGGAGTGGATGTAGTAGCTGCAGACAACGAAAAGGAAAGTCAAAATTCAGATATTGAGAGCTCTTATTCAAAGGGTTACCATTCATACTGATTAATCTGGCTCCCAAAATCAGAATGTTGTGTGAAAAAATTTGTATTCTACCCTTTGTACAATAATTCTATTGATTTATATCCATGAATATTCTTCTAAAACTACGTTACAAACTAAAATAACAAAAGAAAAAGTCTAAAACTGAAATGAGGGTAAGAGTATTGGAAAATTTTTATGAAAAATGACAATCACACACATAAATTTTTATTTATTTATTTGATATTATTCTTTTTTACTTTTTAATTTTTTTAAAAAAATACATAATTTACTTTTTATAACTAATTTATCTTTATATTATGTGTATAGTAAAAGTGTGTTATTCTATTATTATTGTTTGAGTACAAATAAATTTAGACAAAAAAAATAGTATTTGAATTTAAGTTGTTATTCTTTGAATACAGATAAATTTAGACAAAGGAAATAAATTTAGACAAAGGAAATAGCGTCTGAATTTAAGGTGTGAAGTGGAGAGTTTTCAACCACTTAAATGAAAATTCAAACATCTGAATAAACATGATATGATTGTTAAATACTTTTATTATAAAAATAAAAAACTAACAAAACACCTACCTCAATGCTTTGATTTATTGAGATTATCGATAAAAATATCTGTATGGATGTTAAACCTTTTAATATAAATTAGTTATATTTTTCACCTGATCTTGTCTCGTGCAAATTTTTTCATTCTATCGTAAGAAAGTGATTCAACAAAAGCAATTCGCTTAGATTTCATTTTTTTCTTAAATAAACTTAGCCTTTTCTTACTATATATAATGGCCACGGTTTTCTTTCTGTAAATTGAAGATCTATGTTTTTATACTATCTAATAAATAAATCAATTAAAGTAAAATTTTCTTTTCATTCATTTCAAAATGTCTTCAATTCAATATAGCCATTAAAATTGAATTAGTGGTCAACACTTTGAATAATTTACACGAAGTTGAACCCCAGTGTTCTAGTAATAAAAATCTGTTTTTTTTTTGTTGAAGTTACACAGCATTGCTGAATAATAGATAGAATTCTTTATAAATCTTACTATTCAAACTATATGATGTCATCTTGCACCTGTAAATTTATAAATACATCACAAAATTATTTTTTTATTAATTCATGGATGAAACTAAGTGAAACAAATTATTCAAGGCCTGAAAATTTGTCATCAAAACCATATACTGAATGATTTTCTTTTCGCAGATTCCAAATCATGAATTACGCACTTATCGATGAATTGTAGAGTGGAAAATCAAGATATCAGATAATAAAATAAAAAATTGATACAAGTGTTTGTCTCTGGTTTTTACTTCTTTTCTGGTAATCAAACTCATTTATTAAGAAAAAAATCAGACTCTTGCAGACACATGTCCATAAATACTAAAACCAACAATGATCTTAAAGTAACTAAAAAGAAAAAAAAAAAAAGAGTTGTAACTATAATAACTAACCTAAACATTCTAGAAACAAACAAAAACACAACAACTACTAGGTCATTGTAACCTTAACAACACATTCAAGGTGCTAACAGCACCACAATAACAAACGTGATCACCAAAACAGACACAGAAGTTGCAGTAATCATCACTGAGGCAGATGTTGAATCCTCAAAGCTTTGATCAGGTGGAGAAGCCATTGGTGGAAAGCCTTGTGGTGGAAGAGAAATGGTTGGCGGAGATGTAAAACGATGTTCATGAATCACATCCACCACTAATCTTTGCCCATTCTTGCAGTGTTCACCGGTTCCACTGATGAAGTAGAAGTCCCCAGGCCTGTCAAGAATAAAAGTGCTCTTACCATTGTCAAAAGCTATGATGGGGTTACTTGCATCACAATTCATGTAATCCAATTTCTCCACCCTGAGAACTGAGTCATTCTGGTACTCAAAAACTGCATAAAGAATACCATTAATATATATTTGTTTCCATCTATAGGAATGGAGTTTGTAAAAAACTGACCAAATGAAAATCACGCTATGCATATAGTAATAATGAAAGTGAACTGATTCAAGAAGCTTACCAAGAGCATCACCGACTTGAAACCTGTTCCTTTGAGCCCATTGGCTATAAAATTCAGTATTGTTGGGGTCAGGTTCGTGCCAACCAAGGCTGCCACCAACTTGGAAATGAATGGAAGCTTGAACAGAAGTGTTCGTGGCAGCCATGAAAATGATGAGACAAGAACATAGGACGATCGAAAGGGATGCCATGGTTGTTTTTTGCTGTTTTTCTGCCAACGATGTATAGAAGCAATGGATGGTGGTAAACGAATAGAAATGGAAGAGAGGAGTATATATAGAGAAGATGAAATATTGAGTGAGAAAAGGTTTAGTTAGTGGGCAGTTTTAGTGATAACGTGTGGCAGTGTTCATGCAGCTGAATTTGTGGAGAACGAAAGTATGTAACCGATCACTAAATCTCTTAATTAGAGTAACTGCCGTTTTGTAATATATAATTTCAATAGTAAAATATATGGTTGAAACTAAAATATTATAATTCAAAAATATAATTGAAATAAATAAAAATGATTTGTGTGAGAAAATAGTAGAATTCCTTTATTAATTGTTCCTCTTGCACTGTTACATTACACCTATCTAAGCATGTTTATATGAAAATTTGAGATTTTTTTCAAGTGTATTAAACGCTTAATTACATGTTTTTTCACAGAAAAATGAGCAGGTAAAAACGTCAATTTATTTAATTTAAAAATGAGAGATTTAGTGATTCATGTTACCTATTTTCTCGACCTCATCCTAAATTTAACGGCACGAACAAGATGATCGTGTAACCGCCATTAAGTACTACCATCTTTATTGATAAGTGCTTAGATGTATTTAATTTGAAATATTAATTTTAAAGACTGAATGTGTAAGAAATTGAATTTCTTTAATAAATTAAATTCAAATATAAAATATGATAATGAGAATTATTTACTAACGAACGGTTACACATTACACACTCATGCAACTAACGAGGTGGAGAAAGTAGGTAACGTGATCTTTAAATCTCTCATTTTGCAAATGGGCTTTCGTGTTATTTTAATATGTTGTATATTAAATACATTTGCAAAGTTAAAAAAGTGTAATATTTTGCTTAAACCGATAAAAGCAAGCAGTGTTTTTTATTGGGGCAAGTAGCATGAGTGATCAATACACAAAGATACTTTTACATAACGTGACTTTTTTTTAAGATTTTATATCATATACTCTAAAGTTACTACTTTTTATTATCACTTTCTTTTTATTATTCATATTTCTTATTAATTATAAATATACTAACTTTTCTTTTCCACCAAAGAAATACTTTCTCTATTAAAAAAAATTGCTTAAAATTGGAAATACAACTATCACAATGAGAACCACTTTTTTCCATTTTCATATAATCAAGACATAGAAATCATTCTCTTTATTTTATTTCAAATTATGTTTTTAAATTATAACATTTTAGTTACAATTATAATATTCTACTATTTGAAGTATATATAACAAAAACCAATCCGGTCTAAAACATATGTAAAAGTAAAAACAAAGAGAAAACTATTTTCAATAACTAACCTAACACAGAAAACTCAATAAAAAGAACCATCAATATAACAAAATCCAAGTAAACCAAAAAAGAAAATAGAATTACGTTCTGGCAAAGGCTAACTCTCTAAAGATCCAACAAAATTATGTCCATACTCTGTAAGGACTTGTGGTAAAGAATGTAATATAATACAAAAAGAAGGTATAGTAAATGTTCATACAGTAGAAAATATTCCCAAAATCTGCAATTTCTTATGCGTGGCTACTCAAACTTGCTTCCTTTCCACTATCCATCAATTTTTGGAATTCTTACACTTGGGCAATCGTATGTCAAAGTATGTGGGAGGCATTGTTCAAGGGAGCCGTGCAAATCTACTAGACGGAAGAACTCTTGTTTGGTTAAGCTTTTCTTCTCAACCAGTTCATTCACTATAGCATCCATCAGCCTTCTATTTTTCTCAAGGATCTGAAATACAAAATAAAGTTTTCACAGTCAAGACTAATGCAAAATGAGGTTGAGACTATTACTAAATAAACGAAGCAATCGTCTATTATATAATCCTTCTTCACCCTCCATTACAACATACCTCTTTTGCTCGGTTCATAACATAGGAGTCAGAATTCGCATTCGTCCGAATCATATCTGACAACGAAACATAACAATTGAAATTGTAAGTTGGCCAAATACTATCATTGCCAAAGAAGCAAATAAGAAACATCGTGGAAAATAAAACTCAAGACATAATCCATACATTAATTCGGTCAGACACCCAGAAGTTGGACATTCCATGATACTTCTCGGAAAGCCCACCAAGAACAACGTCCTTGCTGCAGACCTAGCATTGTCTGCAGTTTCAGCCCATATCGTAACTCAACATGAAAGATTGAAATTAAGTTTAAATATTTCTTGCAACTCTAAAACGTACCTATAATATGATATCAGCAAATAAAAAGGACCAACAAAATAAACATTTGACACATAACATGTGTAATGAAAAACTGTAGTATAAAGGTTAAAAAATATAAAGCAAATAATCATAAACTAATAGCATCAATGAAGAACTCGGAAAAAAGTAATTTCTCGATTTTCTCCGACCCATATAGAAATCTGAAGTCCATGTACTTTAATTAATTTTCCTTCTGATCCCTCTCAGATTTTATGGATACGTGTTTGTCATCCCACTCAGACAAATCCGAAGTTCCTAGAAAAAGCATATTCGTATGCCATTCATTAAGGCTAGTTAGTTAACCAACACCTTAAAACATGAACGATGTTGGAAACAATTTTTTTATTGCATTATTTGTTTGTCCTGCTACTGTGTTTACCTTTAGCTTTATAAATGCAAAAAAGAGTAAGGAAGTCTGTGGAAAGCATGTAAAAGTAAAACTATTCTATTACCTGACTGCTCCCAAACCAAAGTTCATCAGCTGCACGTGGAGCCAGTTGAACTGTAATATGATCAAGGAGGGATTGCCGACTGCACGATAGTAGCAGTTAAAAATTAAGAGGAAAATAATATGGGAAGCACTAAACACAGATTGTAAATGCAATTTGATCGAGCAGTAATAATTTAAAATGCATAATGCAGGCAGCCTTCGAAAACATCATGGATCTTTTTCTACTAGTTATAAACAGACAAGCATTTCAGTTGGAAAGCATTCTCCAATAGCTAAATATATGGAGGACAGGTTTAATCAAATAACCCATACGTGAGCATTCCATTATTAAATTTGACTGAATCCATCTTCACCCGAACATAGCCCAATTCCCTACCAGCTCTAGGAGCAATTGTGACCTACACCAATGCAAACAAAAATCTAAAATGTCACATTTCTTGTCAGCAACATTCAGATAACAGATATTCATACAACAGAGTAACGAAAACTTTTGTTACGAAAATAAACCCAACAAAATGTAAATTTCAAAAAGATATAGAACAAAATACCAAACTCTGAAGGTCAACTTCCCGAATTGCTAAACTATAATGTCTACTCTGGAGCGTTGTGGAAGCATACAGATAACCAGAAACAAAGGACAAGCTTCTACTTTGCAAGCTATTGTCCTAAGATGCAGTCATTTTCCATTCAATATAACAGTTAGCTTATGTTTTGGCTAAATGTTCCTTTTACCATTGCATTTGTACTGTTGTATTGTCAACTTCAAATATTATCCATAAGTACAAAATTATGACTCAAACACAAAAAGACATGACACACTTTAATAATATCATAGTAAAAGGAATGGAAAAAAAAAAATTTTTAAGATGTAGGACAAAACAGAATCTTGCCTGGATCCTTCTTTTCGATCTCAACTTAGTTTCTTTCAAAAAAGCTCAGTTTTTTTTTTCTAATAAAATTGGCCTTTTACTAATATTTGGCATGTATACCAGCAGGAAAGATTGCATGCAAATGACTTTGCATACGAAAATACTTGATATAATGATATAACTATTCAAGAAAATAAAATAGTTTTAAGGCTTTTACAAAATAATTCAATTCTAACAGAATTCATCGTTTCAAACATGACAAAATATGGCCAACCAAAAAGTAAAATGGATAGTGTTAAGCCCTTACAAACTCTATATTTTTAAGATTCAGGAAAGTTTCACAGCCACGACAGCCATTGCAGCTTCGTTTATAGCTACTTGTTTCCAGTCTCGGTGCTTCTTCCTTTTATCTAGCATTCCTCTTCCTCCATGTTTGCAGCTTGCAATAAGTCATCAGTAGTAATCTGCAAAAGTGAAAAGAAAGAAACAAAGCACTGTGAACTACAACGATACAGCAACTAGTAAATCCTTTTCTTATTTACTTCCTCTTTCGAGCCTCTATCCCCTTTATGTACATGTATGAAATGTGTCCCCTTTTACCTTATGACAATAAATAAAAATTAATTCTTCTAATTATGATTAAAATAAAAAATATTATTAAATTTATAAAAAAATTATTCTCAAAAAATAATTATAAAAAAATAGTTACAAAATGTAAAGTGTAAAATGATTAATAAGGTAGTTTATATCGATAAGGGTAAAATGGCTAGTCAAACGTGTATACCAAAAAGTTACAAAAAACAATCCCTTTTATTAATAGTTATAGATATATGAAAGTTTTATTGTGCCACATTAAGAAACTTATTGTTGTAGAGACTGGAGACACATTTAAGAGTTACAAAGTAAATGAATGTACTATTCAATGATGAAGCTTGCCCTTACAGACAGAGAAAAAACACTTTCATTTGCATGCTTGATTTTGAAAAGTGTTAAGGATATTGAGCGCGAGATGCCATACACAATTTCAGCATCGACTTTACCAATTTCCTATAAGGAAATTTCTGAACAGTAACTATCTGGCAATATTGTATATTGAAGCCATTACCTCAGTTCTCGAGTCACGCATCATATTGATGGCAGCAACCTCAATTATGTTGGCTAACTCTGCACCAACCATTCCATCAGTCATACTAGCAACAGCCATGTAATCCACATCTTCAGCCATTGGCTTTTTACGAGCATGGACCTATTACACCAGGGTGGAAAATTTAATAGGCAAACTACTTAATGGACCATTAATCACAAATCAACAACTATTAATGCAATAAAATAAATAACCAAATCCTGAATGCTACACTGCAAGTGAAATATATAGAGGAACTGCTACCTGTAGAATTTCTATGCGTCCAATTAATCCAGGCTTGGGGATATATATTTTCCTATCAAACCTGCCCGGCCTCACAAGTGCAGGATCCAGAATGTCTGGTCGGTTTGTCGATGCAATGGTTATCACCTCTCCCCTTCCTTCAAACCCATCTAAGCACACCAGGAGCTGGAGCATTCAGTCAATAAGAAACATCAACCAATATAAACACAATTTTACTTAAGAAATGCAGTTGAGAAGTTTAGCATTGCCAGCTTAACCTGATTAAGAGTAGCATCACGTTCCTGTCCACCGGAACCTTTAATCAAGCCACGCTCCCTTCCAACTGCATCCAGCTCATCAATGAAGACAACAGATGGGGCCTGAAAAATAATATACAGAAATGGAGTCTGATGACCGAAGCTGGGAAAAAAAAGGTATATTTCAAGAGAAGACAAAAAAATGCTGTATAATAAAAAAGAAAGGTCTCCAGTCAGCTCGAAACAAATATAATGAGGAACAAGGGGAAATGTCAAGTTTACATGCTAATGGACAAATAAATCTATTGATGTAAGCCAGTTGCAAAATCCAACTTATAATTTGACTTTAAAAAAGTAAGAAAATTTGATAGAACACAGCGGAAAAGATAAAAAAAAAATATCACTTACATTTTCTCTGGCTTCCTGGTAAAGTGCACGGACACGAGAAGCCCCAACACCAACATATATTTCCACGAACTGTGAAGCAGAAATAGAGAAGAAATTAACCCCTGCCTCACCAGCCACTGCCTTGGCCAGCAATGTCTTTCCCACTCCAGGGGGTCCACAGAGAAGTATGCCACCTGATGAAGTGACCAATTAAAATTTCAACTTTCAACAACTCAAGTGTAAAGCGCAGTGAAATCAAATATTTCTTCCTTTACTTGTTTTTACATTGGATAAATGATATAAATACTACTTGAAAATAACCGATAATCAAATATGTATCCAAGCGCAAGATTTTGGAAAAATGCCAGAGCTAGTCCCTGAAAAATGTCCTATAAAATTCCATGAATTTTTTGTTTTCCCGAATGCTAAGTTTGTTCGTTCAAATTACCCTGTTAAAAGTTTATCACAGTTGAGCAAAAAGAGACCTGGTATTTTCACTCCCCTCCTTCGGTACATCTCTCCATGAGTAAAGAACTTGACAATCTCCTCAAGTTCAAGCCGAATTTTACCCAAACCTGCAACATCACTAAATTTGACATCCACGCCTCTCTCTAGATACTGAGGAAGCCTTCTGTTCTGTGCTCGCCTCACACGCGCTCCTGATCTCATAAACTGCTTTGCCACTTTCAAATAATTATTCTCCTCCCCTTTCCCCTGCTCAATCTCCTCATCATCATCCTCAATCCCCTCCATCTCCCTCTCCAACTCCCTCATCTTCTTCCTCTCCTCGGCCTCAGCCTGCTCGATCTTGAGCCTGTCCTCATAGTCTTTCTTATGCTTCCTATAACTAAGCACCACAGTCCGGTAAAAAATGTAGAAGAACAGCACCCCAAGTGCATTAGCCACATTGCTATTGTTAGCCAAATCGGACCAAAAATAGGCCATTCTCTCGTTCCGATCACTCGCCTGGCGCATCGATTCCCGGTACCTCCTCTTTTTCATCTCCCTCCTCCTTCTCCTCTCCTCCTCCTTCTTCTGAGCCTTAATATTCCTCTCCGTGGTCTCCCTCTCTTGCCTCAACCTCCTCAGGTCCTCTTCCTTCTCCCTCTTCAAGTCCATCCTCATTTTTCTATACTCCGCAGCCTTCTTCGACTCCTTTTTGGGCTTTGTTTCGATATCTTCAGGACTGCCAAAAAGGAATTTCTGCAAAAAAGGGGGCAAGTAAATGTTTGACAACAGAGGAGAAGGCCACTCCGGCCTCTTAATGGGCGGTGTGTATGCGTTCACACACACTGAATCAATCTTCAACGCATCCCATGAGTCCCAAAACTCCCTGTGACTCTCAACCGAAGGCAACACTGTCCTCAACACTCTTGAATCATCCAAAACAACCAGAACCGCTTCGCTGCGCTGCCTCAATTTCGCAGAAATAAGTTTGATTATGTGCTTCAGCTTCCCATCCTTCTTGAGCTCGACGATTTCGCTGTAGGGAAGGCGATCGGAGACCACGGGAAGCCCTCGAGACCATGTTTTAAGCTCCTCCGGCGAGAGAGCTTCGGATTTTTTGGCGGACTGCTTTTTGGAAGAGCGTTTCTTGCCCTTGGTGACGGCGGCAGCGGCGGCGGCGTGTTGGGGGAGGGAGGCAGAGATGACGGTAAGGGTTACGGAGAGTTTGAGGAAGTCGAAGCGGTTGTGGCTTGGGGTTTTGTGGTTGTCGTCTTTGTTGTCGTCATTGTCGGATTTTGGGGTCGGAATTCGCGAGAAGACGGAAGGGTAATAAGGGGATTTTGGAGGGCTTCTGAATTTGGGGTTTAGGAGAAATGAGGATGAAGAATAACGAAGGAAGCAATGTGAAGCCATGGAACAATGTTGAGTGTTACATTCTCAGATAATGGCTGCTCTCCATGAACCTGCTTCCTTTCAGGATAAGTAGCTCCTTTTCCTGTAACTAATAATAACATGCATAGACATTTCTTTCAAAATAAAAAGTAATAATTTATCCTCTACTATATTATAAAGCATTTTCAACATGGCTAGGAAAAAAAAATCCTCTGAATTTGAATATGAAAGAAAGTCAATTAAATGCATCGTCGTTATACTGGTTTGCTTATGTGTTAGCTAATGTGACATGATAATTTCTTTTTTATTTATAACATGTATATAAAATTTATCTTGTTTTTTTATCCATTTATTTTATTTTTAAATTAATTTGTTTATACTATTTTTTATTTTTAATTTTATCATTTTATAATTTCTAATCAAATTAGTCATTTACTAAAATTCTTAAAGAATAACTTATATTTAAAGTATAAGTTTTTTATATTATTTTTTCATTAATAATTTTATTTTTTTACGATTTATAATTATTTGATCTTAAATTTAGAAACATACAAAAAGTAGAGTTGAAAAAATCATAAAATAAATAAAAGACATGCCCACAACCAATTGTAAAACATCTTTACCTAATGCTTGCGTCTACGAAATAATCATTTAACTGAAGCTTTACACCTTTCTAAAAAGGTAGAGACATGGGAAACAACCTCCAATGTTATTGAACATAACAACTACACTTCCAAATTATGTTGACAGAAGTGTTCTATTCAGCCATTAATAAATTAAGTAGTCAATTAAAGACTTCCAAACTTGAATCACCACATATTTTATATAAGGGCAGAAAGGTTCTTTTACCAGATCAGATTAACATCAATAGCATAGGTTCCTGGACAAAAAAAACAACCAAAGCATTTTATCCCATTGCGTCAGATCGATCCATGAATCAAACATTATGCTATAACAAAAAATCTCAAGTGCATGGACAATCATCAGACTTACATCGACATTTACTTATATATTGTGTTCTTGTTTCTCAAAACACAGGAGCACTGATCTGTGTAGTGTAATTATTGATAAAATTGATACACTCAAATGCCACAAATTCTAACAATTGAGATCCATAGAGTATATATTCCAACTCAATCCAATGAACAAGACATGCCGAACTTCTTCAAGGTGTACGAAGAAAGTAAAATCATTGCTTACAACAAAACAGAACGATACTTAATTTGATTCAGCTGAACAGCTAATTTAGACTCCAAACATCAAGTCCATGATTTTGGACACCAAAGATTTTGTTGGGGAAGCAATGGTTCCTCCGGTCTGCCGTGCAGTGGAGTTGCCATTCTGCGCATAGTAAGATCGAGCAGGCGCTTTCAATGTGCTCACTTCTGAATTTCTAACAGAGGGTAGAGGTAAGGGCATAAATCCTTGATTATTAAGCCTTTCATTTAAAGCTTGGCGTTGCATGGGATCCAACAGTTTCACACCAACAATTAGTACTCCATTAATTTGCATTCCATTCTTGTTAAGAGCTTTATGTGCATCGGATCGATTCTGTATCAGCAATAAATCAAGTTGGTTGACAAACAATAGAAAATCACTTTGAAAGAGAGTATAGCAAGGTTCAAAAATGGAATCACTTCTTAATATATCAAAAAAATGACAACAACAAGCGCAGGGATAGTCTTGGAATAAAATAAAACTATTGATTTATAACGAAAAAAATAATTACATTCACGCAAGGAAAAGATTGCCAACCTGATACAAAATGTGCATCCAGTTAGCATCTCTAGGACCAGGAACATGTTTCAAAATTTCACCACATTTTTCAAACTCTCTTAAAACCATGTTAGTATCACCTGGTGAAAACCTGCAGAAAAAGAGCATTGTTAAAAAAACGCATATTGCTATATATAAATACAAAATTAAACTCTGCAAGGTTCATTTTACTTTAAAAATGTCCTTTGATTTCTTTTTCAGAGATTTGTGTGACAGACAGTGAAGCCAAGGTATTATTTTCACCATCGAAATACATGAGAAGGGAAAATCATAGAACTTGGATAAAAAGTAGGTATGTTTTAAAAAAGCATCAAGGTCAAGTATTGCAAGAAATGATTATGAATGTGTTTTTAGGTCTGAGTGAATACAAGCAAGTGAAATATATATGATGTGTATCCCATCACCCCACAAATTTCAAGTAAATAAAACACTAGATATATTAAGAAAACTGGTCATGCCTCACGCAACAAGGTCACTGTCAAATTCTTGTGAGTTATTCCACACCTCTCTCCACTTACACCACAGTTCATGTCTTTAACGTAATCACCACAACTACTCTTAACTCTTTTTCTATTTTATCCCTTTAATATTCCCCAATTGCCCTCTTTGTCTACCCTCCCTCTCTCCCCCTTTTTCTCTTTCAAATAATCTTGAACAAAATTCACTACTTCCTCTGTCCTCCTCCACCACATTGGTATTCCCCATAGCGAATTTTCCTTTCAGCCAACTACCACACTGTCCACGTGGTGTTCTAACCTCAAGGCCATTACTCCTATATTACGTTACATGCACACAAGGTAACAATTGCCAGCCTTCCTAGAATACCATAGTTACTCCACCAGATATCCAAAAAGAAATTTTATAAGAAAAGGAATTCAATCACTCACTGAGAATTGAGGCGTTAAATACGCAGCAACATTTTCTACAAACTCCCTTGGCAAATCAAGGATTTTTCAGTCTTATACAACAATTTTAAAACAACGGCATAAAAAGCCTCTACTAAAAATTCCTTGTGGAAGTTAGAATAACAGTAATGAATATTACAACTTTATAGTACACCACAGTTTTTCCCTACTAATATGCACAAATCGTTGCAAGATTAAGTCATTCTTAATCAGAAATAGTTGTAAGTTTTTTCTCACCAAATGCATTGCAAAGCAGTCTTGGCAATTGGAATAAGATCTTTCTGTGCTTAAGGAGCAGGGTTATACTCTCCAGCTTTTGGAGCAAGTTTTCTTGACCTTTTAGGAGTACAGAAGTAAAATCTATGCGGATATTGTCACACATTTTAAGTAAGATAGAAGTAAATTGGGTAGAATTCAAAGGACATCATAGATTTGATAGTGGAATGCATTGTATCCCCCAAAAATAGACAAACATAAATGCTAAAGCAGAGTTAAGACATACCCATATACAGTTACCCATTCTTCTCTTGCAGATTCCCAGCTGGACAACGAATTCCTCTGAACCTCAGGTCCTGGACACTTTCCAGGCGGTGGAGGAAGAGTATCAAAGCACCAGGCTGAACCACACCCTCCAAATGAGTGAATTTTTCCCTTCTCATCTTGGTTCCCCACCACTCTTTGCAGTTGCAGGTGACCACAACTCAAACCCGGCGAGGTCTGCTGGTTTTGTTTGTCCCCTCTCAAAGCATAAGATGTGCTAGCCTCAGATTTGTTTTCCCAGGAGTTGAAAATTCCTATTGGAAGTTTGGATAGGAGTTCTCGTGTCTGACTAATCTCAGGTGATACTTGATAATCTAGTATGCCTGATTCAGGAGAAAAGTCTGATCTGTCCTCCAAGGTGAAAACAGGTGGAGGAGGAGAAGGTCAGAACTGCCAAAGTTCTCACGCCACAGTGCAGATACTGCAGCTGCCTGACCGGGACTTGAAACTTTTCCTCTACGGGTGGAAACAGGTGAAGCTAAATCCTGGAAAAATAAGACTGCTACCGGACCCTTGGAGTTCTTTGCTACCGTAACACTCATGTATATATTTTTAAACAATGGAATCAGTACCTGCAAACAAGCAGACAGAACAGATGCATTGGAAATCAAATTGGCTTAAAGAGCTGAGGTAAGACTATGTCTCGGTTACGCAGCATGAGGAATGAGAAATGGCACATGTCAGAACCTAAGAAATTTATCTACTAATTCAAATTTTCTTTTCATTTACCAGGAAACTTGAACCAAGGAAAAAGAGAGCAAAATAATAGGATTTGACTCCTCTAAACTGAGGAAAAAAAATTTGTGAATAATCTCAATCATTGATAAGAAAAATAGTTATCAAACATCAATGATTCGTGTGCATATGCACTGCAAATAATATTAGCTCATTAATTTTCTCATGACCTCACTTTTTAGAAGCTGGATCAATAAAATAACTAGGCAGTAAGCAGATTTTACTAATTCATAAGAAAAAAAAACAAGTTTAAAATCACGAAGAAAGACTTAAACAAACAGACAATCCCCAAATTAAGATCTCCATTTCAGACACTCAATCAATGTGCTCTACAACCAGTAAGAAATTAGAAAATAACAGAAATTTACAACAAAATATGTTAAAAGTGTCTGGGCCAAAAAAAGTGGAGGAGGACTTATCAATACATCAAAATAACGCATGAAACTACACCAAAAACAAACAATTAGTTTATCCCCTTCGCATAAAACAATGGGTTCTGAAGTCCCCCTTGACATTGGGGCTGAAATTCAATGGATATAGAGTGAGCAGAAGAGAGAGAAAGAGAGAATACCTGGTGTATGGAAATGAATTGAATGCAATCAAATCTAATGATTGAGGAGACTCAACTTTTGAAGATTGATTTGGTATTTTCCCTCCCAAAAACAAAAAGGGAAGCTCTGCCCATGGAGGACCAATTCGCGAAGGAGCAATTCTATGTATTTTGTAATAATGTGTCAGTGGTTTTCAATTGTTCATTCAAAACCTCCTCATTTCCTTCTTGTCTTGAAGGTATTAACATATTTTCTATATAAAAAATGGGTATGCCCTTAAAATATATTGATTATTTCATATATTTAATTTCGTTAATTCTTTATTCAACGTTATCGATGTATTTTATATCTATTTTCTATTTTTTAAAATACATTCACTTAATATCAGTATTTTAATTAATGATAAAGTTTATACACAAAATTCGTAAGTTAAAATAAATATAAACGCTAAATTAAAATTTAAAATATAAAATATTTTTAAATTTTCAAAATAACAATTTTCAATTAAAAATAATAATGAGTAGACCAACAAAAATTTAAAAAAGATAATGAAATAATGGTAAATGTATGCATGTAATTATAATTTCAATTTAATACAGTTATGCACCCCAGTAAAAATAAATTTAAAAAATTATAAAATAAAAAAACACATTTACAGGAACTATTTTTGAAAAACATTAAATAAATAACAACTATGTTCTTGAACATGATTTCTAGAAAAACAAAAACATGTTTTGAATGTTCAAAAAAGAATTTAATTAACTCAAAATAAATTTGAAAACAAGATTTCTTCTTTTTTTCTTAACTTTAATTGTAACTTACACAGTTATTTAAATGGATAATTCTTTTATTTTTTCCTAGTAACAATATATCGATTGCATTTGCTTAGTAAAAAAAATGTGTTTAATTTGAATTGTAATTTTATTACTCTTTTTTTCAAATATAATTTGTCATGTTTCTTGTATAAATGTAACTCAAATTTATTTTATATAACCTTATCATAAATATAGCAACACTCATTAGAACAGTTATGGCATTTGATTTCTATGATTGGACGCTGTCTTTCGGATGAACTTGTTTGGATTTTTTATTATTTCATATTTTATCTCTAGTTCAAAAATAAAAATCTCATTCTGTTTTTTAAAATTAATTTTTAAATTGTATGATCTATTTTTTAATTTATATATGTAGTTCAAATATTAATTTTTATTTTTAAATTATACCAATTATGAGTTTTTTATATTTGTGTAAAAAAATGGAATTATATAATTTTAATTTATTTTTAAAAAATACTTTCAGATTTAAAGAATATATATCAAATTATACAATCCAATTTTTTTTCAAAATATCTCAAATTATATAAATTTAAAAATAAGTAATTTGCAAAATATTCAATTTAACTTTCTTGAACAAATACATTTATCTCTCCATTTTTTATTTTTATAGATTAATATATAAATAAAATCATTTTTTAGTTTTAGAATATTTTATATTTATATTACTCTTGAAAATTTGTATATATTTATTTTTACACTTATTTTAAAAATGTGCACGTTGACAAAAGAAAAGATGGTAAAAAATATAGATAGTTTAATGATAGTAAAAATAAGTCAAAGAATTCAAATATGCAAACAAAAATTAGAAGAATTGTATCTTAGTGTTAAGCGTTTTCAATAAATCTTATATATTTATGTATAGGAATTAGTTTAAAGATATACACAATATTTACATAATATCATTTAAGAATATTTTTAAAAAAATTCTATAATAATCAATTAAATAAAGTGGTAATTAACTATCAAATTGATTTTAGAATTTTATAAAAACATTTCTATATTAATTGATTATCATTTTTAATAATTGATTATCTCATCGAAAAAAGGTTTTGAAATGTTTTGTTAAAAATCAATTATCAACTAACCAAATTCTTTGATTATTTTGATCTATTTTTAGAAAATAAGAGTCTATATATTTTATGTATAGAACTTATTTTAAAAGTATACAAAATAACTTGCATAATATACTTAAAAACATTTTTAAACAACGTTATATAATAATCGATTAACTAAAGTTGTAATAAACAATTCAAATTGATTTGAAATTTTTAGGAAAAGTTTTTAGAATAATTTTTGTACATTAATTGATTGTCATGTGGAGACAAGTTTTTGAAATATTTTATAGACAATCAATTATCAAGGACGATTATAACTAAATTCTTCCGTTTTTTAATTTAGTTTTCAAAAATAAGAGTTTATATATTTTATTTAAACCTAGTTTCAAAAATAACTTTTCTTTTGATTTAGGTAAAAAAAAATCCTAAATTGATAAAATGAATGTAAAATTTTTGAAATTCAAATTAAACAATCAAAGGTTATTGTAATAATAAAATTATAAAACCTAGCAACTATATTAAAGGTTACTCTGGTTTTTGGAAGGTTAAAAGAACACTAATAATAACTATGGCGCTTGAACGAACAAGGAAGAAAAAAAACTTCGCTTTCAAAGTCTAAAGTTACAAAGAACAAAAGTCCTAGATAAAGACTCAAACGACACAATTTTATAATATGTAAAAAGTTAATTTTAACAACTTTACAAAAAAATTTATATATTAAATATACATTTAATTTAAACATATTATTTTGATGCAAAAGATTATTAGCAAAAATCAATTATTAATTAGAATTATTATATATATGTGTTTAAAATCCTTCAATAAAAACAAAATTCAAAATATTTCTCTTAAGATTTTTTTTTCCAAAGTTTAATCAATTGAGCGAAAGACATTCCACCTGTTTAAGAACTAGCAGATAAAAGAAATTTAAATTGATTGATGTTAGGACAGAATTAGGAGTTAAAACTTGAAGGACTAATTATATAAAGTAAATTTTATTAAATCAAC